GGCCTGATTTCCTAGATAGTTTATCCGCTAATTTCTTGAAGAACTTATTAGCTTCCCTTCCCATACCCCCAGTGGTTGATAGGACTATCGGTGTAAACGTCCCATGTTCGACTTCTACAATCCTTTTATTGTATAAATTCTTTTTCTGTCTCTCGTGGCTATTGTACATAGTGGTTGGAGATCCAAGAGCCTTATTGGAAGGAGCTTGAGCATGAAATACTCTTACATCTAAAAATGCCCTTTCCAATGGGTTCCATACACTCCTAGCACTAACATCTAATCTAGCTCCATCTGCTTTGTTGGCCCCTGCAGGAAGTTCTCTCCCGTTGACAGGAATGAGGATTCACCCTTATCTGGTTTAGAATATAATGTGGGTTGCTTTTTCAGGTTTTATTGTATACTGAACTGTTTTCGTGGCATACCTGTGCATTATAAGTTGTTGCATTATAAGTTGTTGTGCCACTATAACATAAAAGTTTAAATTATTATTATATAGACATAATTGTCACAATGACCCTATATATTTGTTAGAGATTGGGTTAGGGTTAGGGTTCAGATCAGATTAGAGGGCTATGATTTCGAATAGTCATTCAGGGCCATCAAGAGAACGTGTTCAAAAAGTCACGTGACAGTCGAGTGTAGAGTGATTAATCATCATCCAACAGCAATGGATGTTTGCAAATTTCATTTAATTAATAACAGTTAATTCAAAAGTCAAAATAACTTATTTATAAAAATTGTCTTAAAATTAGCAAATTCGTAGAAAAATATAAATTTTCATGATACATCTGTTTTATCTTTCAATTCAATAATAAAATTGCATTCTTTCAATTACATCTTCTAGTTTATAAATTTATAAATTAAGAAAGAAAGTGTTTTTAAAGAGTTTTTATTTGGCGCAGTTTATATCTCCGCCAAAAGCACACTCCCCAAATTGCGCGCATTGCTGTAACTTCTATCAAACTTCATGAATCGAGATAATTTATTTTGCAATGTATCTAGAGTTTATATATGCACCTATGCAAATCACTTGGAATACTTTTGAAAGAGAATAATATAACAAGCTCAAAAACGCTACTGACGTATTTCTCCATAACAAGCACAATAGCGTGAAAAGCCTTTGTCAATGTGCCTCAAAAGTGATCTTAAACGATTCCCCGTTCAATTTTGGTCTGAGAATGCCAACTTAGTGCATAATCAAGAAATTATAAACATATTTCATACGTATCGAATTGAATGTGCTTTTGGCGGAAATATAACGTGCGCCTTTTTATTTACCACAAAACAAAATAATAAATAAATACATAATGTTATATTCATATATAAATTCAAATTTCAATTTCAACCACCTATACAGCATACAGTACGCCGCGCACACAGCCACAATTGTTGAGAAATTCTTAGGTGCAGCTGTAAGCGCCGCGCACAGGATTTATTTAATTGTTATCTTACAATTACATGTCACATTTTTTAATTGCTAGAGCCAAAATTTCAGAAGCAAAATATTTCAAAAGATATTTCTGTCGTTCGCGCAGTACAGGCCGTGAGCACTGCGATCCAATTAATATAATAATGGAGAGATTCCAAAAACCGCGCGCTCGTTATGATTATTTGATATTGAGCGCGCGCCTCTGTGAACAGCAGTACCGCTCAAGCATGAAGTACTAAGCAGTATTGATTGACGATGTCAATCCTTCGCATCTCGCCGATCTGTGGTTGCGAGAAGCATCATTTGATGCGCGCGCGACCCAGTAGTGCATCGCGCTACAATAAGCAGTACGCAGTTCTACGTCATGCGTAGACATTTGCACAAGTTTTATTAACTACTAGACTGAACCTAAATTAGTTTGAGCAATTTTTTAAATTCCGTTAACCATTAACTACTAAACGGAACCTAAATTAGTTTGAGCAATTTTGTAGGTTTATAACTTACCAAGACGCGCGCCGAGTTGGATTCGTCGACAGTTTGAAACAAATATTTTACAAGTACCACCCGTTAAGAGCAATTTCGATGGTCAGAATTTGATCTTGAGTTATTAATTAACGGGTGATACTCGTAAAACCTCGGCGCGCGTCCTGGTAGGTTGTAAATTCACCTAACTATGTGCTTTCGCGCCACTTCGGGAGCGCTAGTTTCACAAGTCAAGAAAAGCACCTATCCACGAACCCCGATGGGAAGGTTCGTGCGCGCGTGCGCAGTGCTGACAACAGCGTCTATGTTGCGCAGGACGCAGGTAGTCTTGGCACTTCTCCCTCCAGTATGCAGTAACCACTTTTCAGGTTTCTATAGTGCATAGTGACAGTGTATAGGGGTTAATTAGGTATAAACTACAGTAGTAATATATAGTACAGCTGTACTTACATTCACAAGCATGCAAGCTCACCTGGTCCAATGAGCGGGAAACGCGGAGGACAAGGTCTGGTGACGTCTTAGTCACGTGACCTCATAAGCTCATAATCACGTGACCTCAGACCAAATTAATGATCAATTAGCTTCGGGCTTGTCATACGTTGTATGACCCGCCGCGCACGGAGTGCGCGGCTCCCCCTGTATCGTCAGTGAAACGACCGTGGGGGTCGCAACGTGATACAAGGGCTCTAGACAAAACTTACTAATCATTCCAAAAAGGTATGACAAATTTGGTACTGTGAAAATTCTCACAGTCTCTAGAAAACGGCGTTTACTAATATAATTCGGGGGGTGATTCTTGACGGATGTTACTCGTCTAAATTTCTTCGAAGTAGTGCGCGCCGCTATTTCTTCTCGGCAAGTGCTACGAAGTAGCGCGCGCCGGGCCAAATCATTAACAATGGTCAAGGGTGATTCGGAATCAGCGTCCAAAAATACACCAATTCAGATCAATTTCACAACCAAAGATTTGGTTCATAATCCAGCATCATGATGAGGAAATACAGTTTTTATCTCAATTATCATAGTCACGTGATAGTAGTTGGCAGAGTCGTGGGGTCGGGCTTATTAGTGAAATAAAAGTCATATTATATACAACTATCCTATTCTTATGTAATCTGATAACAATATTTTTTTGAGTAGACTGAGAAAAACCATGATTTAAGATTGGTGAGGCTAGCAAAGAGAGTGATTTAAACAAAATCGCAAAAATACCCCGAATGATGATATTCAAAAAACCAAATCCTAAAACTCGGTAAATTGGACCGTCGCCAGTGCCTCCTTTTTCTAAACAAAAAATAAATGATATCAATTTGAATTATCGTTTTCGAATGTAAGATGATACCGAGATATAAATGACATCGATCGCTCACCACTGCATGTCTCTCCATGGAGAGTGGCGACGGATCAATTTCGGGGTTTTAGTAAAGGGATCAGGGAGGGTGGCCGGGGAGGGAGACATTGTCCGGTAATAGAACCACCTTACCTGGGGAGTGGGGAGTACCCTTACATGGGGACCTCAGGTTATCATGTTTATAATCATATGAAATTCGGCGAATAGAGATTAAGTTAATTGACGATGTCAATTCATGGCAGCTCGGCGCGGCACAGTAGCGCATCTCGCCGATCTAGCCAGTGTCGCTGTGAGAAGCCTTATTAAGTGCGCGGCGCGGCACAGTAACGCATCGCGCTACAAAGATTAAGAGATTCGGCGGAATGATTGTAGCGCGATGCGTTACTGTGCAGCAGCGCGCACTCAATGAGGCTTCTCACACACAGGAGGGGCTAAGTGCAAAGAAACTAGCGACATCGGCTAGATCGGCGAGATGCGCTACTGTGCCTCGCCGAGCTGCGATGAATTGACATCGTCAATTAAGCGGAATGACAGGCTGAGCGCCACCCAGTAAAGAACCACCATGATTTATAAATCAGTGAGTTTGTGAAAAATTAAAATCAGATCATAGATAACACAATCATTTATAATCATATCACAATTAAGGACAAAAGAAAATCATGCTTATTTAGGCTAAAAATCGAGTGGTTATAACTTTATGTTTAGTGGTCAAATGAATGTCTAGTAAGACTAAGTAGTAGTATTAGCCAGTAGTGTGCACAGTACACTACTGCTGGCTTCCCAACCTATCACCAATATTTTAATATTCCAAACAACTATTCATGTACGGGTATCACCCGCTAAAGCGTTAAGTACTGAAAACTCACCGAATTACACACAAGTGGTGCCCTCAGTGCTATGCAGGTGATTTTGTCGCTGCCCCTCAGTAGGAACCCCTCTTCACATGACACTGTCAGCACTGTTCCTGCTTCTACCGGGAATGTTGTGAGCTGACGTTTTGTGTTGTTAAATCACCAGATTCTTTGGTAAAAGCGTCATTATTCTGTGAACGCAACGGTGACTAAGTTGCTGACAACTTATCTGTAGAAACCACTTGTAATAGGGCGCAGGTTTATTGTCTGTTTGGTTAATATGGCTAGTAAATATTACTCAACACTTGGGTCGAGCTATTGTCCATTCTTTAAATAATTTGTAAAAAAAGAAATATGTGGTATTCTGTGGATCTTATACTTATAGACTCAAGTTTGTTGTTTTCGGTTTTATCTTTAACGTAAAGAAGGAAAAGAAGGAAATGCTACGGCGAACAAAAATTAACATCTATAACAATTTCATCAGATTTCAGAATCCGGTTGAATATCAGTACAGACCTTTCATTGTACAACAGCATTTTCAAAAGTTCGTGGATCAGGACGTAATTACATAAAAAGTTAAAAAGAAAAATGTAACAAAAAAGTTCATTAACTAATTCCTTTATATTTCAATTATTTGAATACTAATAGATGTGCACTACGGGTCCTTTTATTTTAATAAAAAAATGTGCGAAAAATCAATAAGTAATTATATGTAAGTTAAGACTGAGAAATCACAGCACACAAAATTCCAAATTGTTAAAACCTTAAAATTTAAAATTATTTATCAATTCAGTCCAACTTTTCTAATTCTAATAAAAATAGTGTGATTGTTTTTTATCATCATCCTCGTTATAAAATGTGTTGTCGCACCTTGTAAAATAGTTGAACAAATTTATTTAGCTCCCGACTAAACTCGTTTTTGTTCCGTTTCTTTACACCATCTGTTAATAATTTATATTTATTTTATCTTCTTACTTCTAATATTCAAACTCGCAGGAAGGTATTCAGATGAATATTGTCTGTACAAACTGCCAACTTTACTCACTTACTCAGTGTCGAAAGTGAAATCATTGTACAGTGTAACAATATTACCATTAACTTGTAACTATAAGTAATGACTATTGACTGATAAGGAGAATTTTAAAGAGAGTATTTCCATTTTTTTACTTTATGAAATAATTATGTAATAAAGTTACTATATTCGTAAACTATTAAACCAGTCCCCAAACAAACAAACACTTTTCATATGAGCGGGATATAAATACCTCATTTCATTTCATTTCATGCTGATTCACCTTTTACACCTTTATTAACATTCGTTTTCTGATGTTTGATCAGTCTCATCTGCTGGTTGATTCCTAAAGAGTATGTGTATTAATTTAATAATAATATACACGGTTACAGAGTTGTACAATTGTAAAATAGTAATATTTGGCTTAAATTTGCAGGGTTCTGTCTATGTAGATTGTAGAATAGCGTACTTATTGTCTCTCTCATCTGATTGTAACCGGTCAAAACTCCACGCTCTGCTCTCTCGAACCATCAATTTGTAAACATGCACCCAGAACGTTTTTACATCCTCCTTTAGCAGAACGTGAAATATGAATATGAACACACCCTGAAATATAAAAATATGAACTTCAGGTCTTTATTTGCGAGATGAGTATCACAATGGTGCATATAACATTGAAGGAAAATTATGAATTTGAAACTAAAATGGTTTACCCAATCATTAATTGAACCTTAGAAATGGGTAAGTATCGGTTTATGTCAAATGTTAAATTGCCAAATACCATACAGATGGTATACATAATAATCATGGGTACTCCTGAAAACATAACATCTAGAAAAAATATATCAAAATTAGATAGAAAAAATAAAATAAAAAAAAATGAAATAAAAAAAAATGAAATTAAAACAAATTAAATTAAAAAAATTAAATACAAAATGAGGTCAAATGAATACCTGTGGGGTGTTCACTAAAATAAAAGTCCATCTGATGATTTGTGACAAATCACTGTCCGTACTGTCTACCAGGAGGAAGAACCCAACAATCCAGCCCAGTCCCAACAAGGTTGTAACAAATAACGCGGACCTAAGCTGTCTCTGGGGCAGGAATGTTTGTGATTTCGTGATTTAAAAGTTTAACGTCAAACTTCTATTAATTGTTTAAGGGATGCATTGATTCAAGAACTTGTTAGATAATAGATGGATAGTCATTTTTATAAGCATTTCCGTAAGTGGTAAAGCGTAAAGCTTACCATTAAATGCGTGGTACTTACCACTCTCATTTTTACTTTTGTCATTTCCGTTTGTTCAGCTCTGGCCGTCGTGGCTTTAAAAACAGCTCGAATGATGAAGAAAAACAATATCCAATTTACCATAATCCCAAATGCCATGGGAGCATAGAAAGTGACGAGTCCGAAGGATTTCCTCACAAAGCATCTGCAGAGTAATTAATATATAAAATTACTGTTTAAATCGTCTAATTAGCGATAGTTTGAGCGTTAATTTGAGCGTTATAAATTAATTTATATCAAGCGCACATCCAGGACTGAGGTGCGAATAAATTCACATATTTACTTATCTCAAATAAACTAACGTTTCTGGGTTAACGAACTGTTTACCACCCCAAACAAATCCCAGTATAGGAAAGATAAGAGGAAGGCCCCAGCCAATAATACAGTACTTCAGCTTTGCTGCTCTAATGTAAGTGTTAAATACTTGCACTACTGCTTTGTACAAGGTTACCGCTTCTATAACCATCCAGTTCAACTGACATAGCCAAAAGTAGTTCAGTAGAAACGCAATCTGAAGTTGGATTAAGTTAAATTAATTTATACAAATTTGTATACCATCACTTTATATAACCTAACCATGAGTCAAGATATATCCAATTACTATTGTGAAGCAAGCAATAAACATGGATGTGGATTCTGGTGGGGAGGCATTTTGACATTGACACCCAATCAAACTCCACATTTCCTGTCACGTGTAAAAAATATTCCCCACTAGGATCTCCGCATCTAATTTATTTGAATTAAGGAATATTTACAAGGAGACTTACAGTTGAACATGATGTGCTCGGATTACCCTCGGTATCTGCAACGATGTCTATCAAGAGGAAGCAGATAATAGAGGGAATGAGAGATAACATTAGCATAAGATGGATCCAGTTCGGAAACATCGACAAAATTGCCCTGAAAAGTGTTTTTGATTTGTTAATTATTTTTATTGTTGGGTAAGCGAATTGATATTTGATTCGATGCTGTACGTACTTACGTATAATGTTAAAGATACAAAAAATCGGACTTTATTTGAACGGACATTAATTGAACGCTGGATGCCTTAGCGTTAATCTTAAGGGGGCATACACCAAAACAGTGGTTTGTGCCGTCCAGACCAAATGACCTCATAGGCAGTTCAGTGACCTTCTAGCGCACCGTTTCCACACCAAAAAAAATTATTTTGAGAATTCCCATTTTTGTAATCGACCATTTCCTGGTTAAGAGTGCAATTTTCGGAAAAAATTATTTTGTGGTTGAGACGCTATAAGTTAATCATTTCTTGCGGTATCGGGTTGAAATTTTGCTCGCCGTTTATTCACATCTATTTCAAGGTGTGTGTAAAATCTTGATATCCTATCTAAAAAGGCTGGTGTGTTATGAATTTTTAAAGTCAAAAAGCTAAAATTGTCCTTTTCAGGCTTATTTTAACAAAAAGTCAGTCAGGGAAGATCGGATTATTTGATGCTTGACATCAAATTGTTCTCTGAATTCTGGCGCAGTTTTTGATGCCCTCAAAAATGTTTTTACTCATTCACCTTCTGATCTATTGGACCTCAAAGCCAAACAACAAATTTAGGCACATTTTTCTTTTTTAATATTTACTGATTTTTCCAAAATTTTGATAGGAATGTGCTAGTGACTTTTTGAAGGGTGCAAAATAACCGCAACTAGCCCATTTATATATGAGTTATGAACAAAAAACACCCTAAAATGCTTCCCTTTGAAGTTATGGGAGAAAATGTGATTTTTTATCTGCAAAGCCAAAAAATCACATTTTCTCCCATAACTTCAAAGGGAAGCATTTTAGGGTGTTTTTTTGTTCATAACTCATATATAAATGTGCTAGTTGCGGTTATTTTGCACCCTTCAAAAAGTCACTAGCACATTCCTATCAAAATTTTGGAAAAATCAGTAAATATTAAAAACGAAAAATGTGCCTAAATTTGTTGTTTGGCTTTGAGGTCTAATAGATCAGAAGGTGAATGAGTAAAAACATTTTTGAGGGCATCAAAAACTGCGCCAGAATTCAGAGAACAATTTGATGTCAAGCATCAAATAATCCGATCTTCCCTGACTGACTTTTTGTTAAAATAAGCCTGAAAAGGACAATTTTAGCTTTTTGACTTTAAAAATTCATAACACACCAGCCTTTTTAGATAGGATATCAAGATTTTACACACACCTTGAAATAGATGTGAATAAACGGCGAGCAAAATTTCAACCCGATACCGCAAGAAATGATTAACTTATAGCGTCTCAACAACAAAATAATTTTTTCCGAAAATTGCACTCTTAACCAGGAAATGGTCGATTACAAAAATGGGAATTCTCAAAATAATTTTTTTTGGTGTGGAAACGGTGCGCTAGAAGGTCACTGAACTGCCTATGAGGTCATTTGGTCTGGACAGATTTGGTGTATGCCCCCTTAATGTCCATTCAAACAAAGTCCGATGAGGAAGTTAAATTATTATTATATAACTTTATTCAAATCAAAAATAGAACATAAATGAACATCTTAAAGATCTGATAAGTAGCCAGAAAAAAAGAAAAACTGATACACAAGCTATAACAACTTCTTCCATCCCGCTCTATCAGAGGCTAAAAGTCTTAAATTGTACAAATCGTCTGTATTTACAAATGGAATGTTCCTGCTACCTAAATCAAATTTAATAGTCTTAAGCAAGTTCGACTGGTGTCTACCTACTCTACCCTTTTTAGTGCTCTGACTCTCTACTGCAAAGTGTAATGCAAGCTGTGCAGGTGAGTTGTTATCACTGCGAAGGACATGTCCGAGCATCCTCCATCGTGCACATGCAACACGCTCACTGAGTGGAACCACTTCACATCTCTTGTAAAGGGTGTCGTTTTTGATTATATTAGGGTAAGTCATTCTGATGATTTGCCTCAGATGCTTTCTGTGGCAAATATCCAGTTTACTCAGTAGCTGCTTTGAAGCTGCCCAGCAGCTACAATTATACATTAAGACGGAGACCACCTGGGCTTCCTAGATCTTAAGTCTGGTCTTAAGAGGTATGCGTTTACCTTGTTCCCAAACTTTCTTGTAGGTTTGGAAAGCAAGATTTGCTAGAATACATCGTCTTTTTATGTCCTCGTTGCTGCACAGTTTGGAACCAAGTGAGATAGATGATCTCCAGGGCTCTCTTCCTCGAAGTGGCTCTCCTTTGTCATCAACTTCGTTCTTCTCGGCCAGATAGATATGTGTGAACTCTGTTTTTGATTCGTTGACAAAAAGATTCCACTCCTCCAATATCTCCTTGCATATTGGTAACATGGACTCCAAATTCTTTTTATCCTCGTCTGTGAAGTCTGCGTCGTCTGCGTACTCCCACTCAAGAGGTAGCAGGTTTTCAGCAAACGGAGGGTTGGGTCTTAGATAAGACATAAAGGCACGAAGGTGGTAAAGTGCGCCAGCCAAATACAGGGTGAAAAGGTTTCCAGACAAACTATCACCTTGGAACGCACCTATCGTGACAATGAACTCCCCTGATACGGTAGACCTCACTTTAATCTTCAGTTTGGTACATGAGAGTAGGTACCTTACCAGTCGGATGTCGTCTTCACTACAACCAGCATCAGCAAGAAGTTCTAGCAAAACTGATCTCTTAATGGTGTCGAATGTAGATGACATATCAATACCCATTTTGTGTAGAGACCAGCGTTTCTCCTTCACAACTGAAACTAGGATCCGTTGTGCCCAAACAATATTTGCACAGCTATGGCCAGGCTTGTAGGCATTTTGCCAAGGTCCAGTGTACTGAGAAACTTGTCTTTGAACTTTGAATGCGTCTAAGGACTATCATGGACAATATCTTCCTGGTGCCGTTTAAAAGACAAAGAGGGCGCAAACTTTTTAAAGGTCCACGTGGCTTACCAGGTTTTTGCAGTGGGGTAAGGAATCCTTCAGTGAATGAAGGTACATGTTCATGACGTTCAAAAGATTGATTGGTCAGCTGTGCAAATGTAGAATAGAAAATAGGTGGGGAGTGTTTAAGGAATTCGTTTGGTATACCATCAGGACCAACAGCCTTACCATTTCTTAGCTTTTTGGCAGCTTGTTCCACTTCAAAGGATGTTATGGGATTGTTTAGTGGCTGAGGACTGCCAACAAACGGCTCAAGTGGAGGTTCACTGTCTGGTCCTGTGTAGTGTTGCTCAAAATAGTTGCGTATAATGTCAGCTTTGTCACTCTCATTATCTACCAGTTGATTCTTGTCATTAAAAACAGAGATGGAGTCTGATTTCTTGTTACCTGATAGTTGCCGGACAGCTTCAAACATTTTACGGCCGTCGTCTGTATTATTGATAGAGTCTGCAAGACTGTTTGCAACTTCTATTCTGAGAGTATTCAGTCGCTTCTTAATGTCATTTGAGAGTTTGTTAATTTTTGATCTCAAGTCCTTTCTGTCTCTGTATTCATTATTATTCAGAAGTTGTAGCAATTGTTTTCTTTCCTCTGACATTTCAACAACTTCACTATCAGAAGAGTGGTGTCTCTTTCGCTGTGGCTCGCGTAGACCCACAGTGGAGATGGCAGCAGTCTCAACACTTTTAAATAGTTTTCCGAACTGTTGACAAGTATCATTAGAAGAATAGTCAGGTTCAGATACTAGTTGGTTGATATTAACAGTAAGTGCAGATTTAAACTGTTGTTGCGCTGCAATGCTACCTACAAGAGTGGTTGTGTTGAATGCCTTCTGAGTAGTCCTCTTCTTCCTGTAGAAACTATAACGCAGGGAAAAATCTGCTTTCGCAACTACAAGCTTGTGGTCACTGCGGTGCTTAGTTCCCGCATATGACCTTGCATCAGTCAGTAGTGCTTTGCTCCTGGACTTGCAAAGTATATAGTCTATCTGTGAGAAGTATGGTTTACTCTTTCGGGTGGATTGGTCTCTTATCCATCCAGTGCGTGTAGTTATATGCCTGCTGCTGTGGGAGAATGAAGTATTGGTAGCAAATAAGCCATTTGCTGCCAGAAAATGTAACAATCTCTCTCCATTCTCATTCCTTCTACCAACACCATGCCTACCTATGTGCTGCTGTAAACCATTTTCTTCATCAACAAGTGAACGCTCGCCTAACTTGGCATTGAAGTCACCTAACATCCATACTTCAAATCGAGCAGGAACACTGATAGCCTCAAGAAGCTCACCATAAAATTTATCAGCTAGTTGAGGGTTCTGGACTGATTTTGGATTAGTAGGACTGTAACAATTTATAATTCTGATATAACAAGGTGGTTTGTTTACCCGATTGGGTTTTAGTTTAACGTTCATGTAAACGACTCTGTCACTGATCTGATGATGCGATAAAACACTGTCCATAAAACGCTTGTTAACAACAAAACCAAGACCTCCATGTCTACCCTGCTTCTGGTCAAACAGAAACAGTCTATGATGACCGGGAAGTGTTGTTTCCAAGAATTCACGAGTTTTGGTTTCTTGTAAGGCCAAAATATCTAAATCGTATCTGTCGATGTCCTCTGCAACAAGATGTTGCTTGTGAGTGGTGGAGAGACCACAAACATTCCATGTCCCAAAATTGAGTGTCGTACTAGCAATGATGGAAAAAGTTGCACAAAGAAGGTATCCAGCGATCTTTGTCGAGGCGATAAACTTACTGGCTGCTTTCACTGCCATGCGGACTCGTTACTGTCACACACCATCCTAAGTTAAATTAAATAAATTAAATTATTGCTTTTGAGTGTCCTTTGAAAATTATGTCCGGTCAAATATAACATCCGATAAGGTTTATAAATAATTACGGTAACATAATTATCGTAACATAGCTGGAATATTGAACACGAAATATTACTTGTTAGGTAAGATTGGTTAGTTTGTGTCACGTAGTGCGGATACTGTGCTCTGATTAGTTAGTTTGTTACTTACTTGTTAGGTAAGATCGCTGAAACTGCCAGAAGCAAGCACGATAGGCTTAAACCCAATAAAGTTCGTGAAACACCGTCTTCAGCTACGCTCGACTTGTTCGTTAACGTCTGAAAGTATGACATAACTTACTTTGGGCGATCCTCAATCGAAATCCCATTCACTGTCTGCCTCCACACGTCTCGATCGCACATAACAGTTCGAAGGTCGTCTAACTGGAGCCCAGTGTCACGAGCTACTACGTCCAGGAAGGTGAGTGGTCTCCTTCCACGGCCGGATTGGGCAAGTCGCCAGGGGAGGATAGTGGAGATAACTTGGTCAGAAGCTCTCATGCAATGCCCAGCAAATCTGGAACGCCTCGACGCAACCACTGAGGCAATAGATGGAAGGTTGCCATAGATCTGCTTGAGGGTTGGATGTTTCTTCCACGAGATGTTCTTGGCCTTCATTAAAAGACGGGTGTAGCATCCGTTGAGGCGCTTCTCAAGCTGCTTGTTTATGGTCCATGTCTCTGATCCATAGAGCAATACTGGTTCTACACAGGCTCTAAAGAACTTGACTTTCAGTTGTTCGGAAATGCCAGAGGACCAGACTTTTTGCAGTTTAATACAGGCTGACCAGGCCATTCCTTTCCTTGTGTTGAAATCCTTTCTACTGTCCGCAATGAAAGAGCCGAGGTATTTAAAGTCATCAACCTGTTTAATCTGGCGGCCTGAGATGGAATGTAAGTCGACAGTGTCAGGGATGTTGATGGTCATGAACTCGGTCTTAGAAGCATTCATAGCAAGACCAACTTGTCCGGCTGCATTTTCAAGGTCTGTCAGCAGAAGTTGGACTTGCTCTATGGTGTCTGACATTAAGGCCAAATCATCAGCAAAGTCAAGGTCTGTGATTTTGACCGCAGGCACTCTTCGACTTTTCCTAGGCACGATGGTTAGACCGAATTCTTCACCCATGCAGCTTCTGAGGACATAGTCAAGGACGATGATGAAGAGAAAGGGTGCTAGAGTGTCCCCTTGGAGAACTCCAATAAGTGTCCTAAAAAAGTCAGTAAGGCCGTCGATGGTCTGGACACGAGAGAACGATGAGTCATAAAGAAGCCTGATAGCATCTACAAGTGGAGCAGGGATACCGTAGAGGGAGAGGATGTGGAAAAGGGCATCCCGGTTAATGCTGTCGAACGCTTTCGAAAAATCGACAAACACAAATGCGGCTGAGCGATTTCCGATCTTGCATTCCTCGAGTATACGACGTAGGGCAAGGACCTGTGGGAGTGTGGATCTTCCTCTACGGAAACCATTTTGGTTTGGCCGCAAGAGGGGATCAATGAATGGGTAGATCCGGTTGAGGATGAGCTTGTTAAAAACTTTCGCTGCAACCGGTGCCAGTGAAATGCCACGGTAGTTTCCTGGATTAGTAAGATCACCCTTTTTGGGGATAGGAATGATAGAGGCCGTTTTCCAGGCTTGAGGGATCACACCATCCATGAGTGCTTTGTTACAGAATCCGAGGAGGTTTTCACGTAGCTGGGGAAGCTTCCAGACTGAGGGAGGGATGCTATCTAGACCGGGTGACTTGGAGGACTTGACATAACATACCATGATAAAAACCTCTATAACATACCATGATAAGAACCTCTATAACATACCATGATAAGAACCTCTATAACATACAATGATAAGAACCTCTATAACATACCATGATAAGAACCTCTATAACATACCATGATAAGAACCTCTATAACATACCATGATAACAGCGAAACTGGTCATGTGATCACACTCATACTCTACAGACCCGTCCTCTGTCACTCTTGTAGTACACCCTGTTGGTGACCACTTGTTGCTGGTTGTCTCATAGTATCTACACTCCTTTATCACCTGAATTAACCCCAATTTACTGCGGAGTTTGGGGAAAAGTTGGGAAAATTGGAAGTTTACTGGACCGTACATGGAATTCATGGACTTGATAAGATTCATATATCTGTGTCAATGCTTCATTTTTTCAACCCCAAACTATTTGCAAGGCCAAGGTACAAGTACAACCGAAATGATTATTTCATGACTGCCAAAGAAATGGACCAATGTAGGCTGCTATATAATGAATCAAACTAGCATGCTTCTTTTGACTTTGTAATGCATTACCCTCTGTCTGAGTTTTTTCTCTGGTTTTCTGATATCCACGAAGTCAAACTTCATCCTAAAGGATATATCCGTGGAGTTTGTAGCACGTTTTGTATGCTGCAGTCCTACAACCTTTCCTGCAATGGTAGAACTTCCTCCTGAGAAAGAAGATAATCGTTAGAATTTTTAATTTCATAGCAAGCTTCAGGAGCTTGTTTCAACTTACATTAGTGATTAGTTGTAAAATGAATAACCAACGTGACTGTTAAGGAAGCCGACAAAATTTACGTCGATTAAGATAAAACTGACTGGTTGGATTTGTAAAGTAAAACTATTAACTAAATGTGCATAGTTCTAAGTAGTAAAACTAACTGGTTGGATTTGGTGGTGGCTGAAAAGCAGTGTTGTCCTTGTAAATAAGAGCTGCTAGATTCTTGATGTTGCTATTTTGGTTAACAGTTATACGAATGTTAGAATCTCCGATGGTTGTATTGGCATCAGCAGCATTTTGTACCAAGAAGACGTCTGTTGTGTCCTGTTGTGATATACGTGTGAATCTGTTTTTATAACTATATTCCTATATATCGTTCGTGACATGGAGTTCATCTTGTAGCGCAGAAAATTATATATCCAAAATTAGAAATGTTTGAGTTTAATCTCATAACTTACTGTGGCGATCGATACTAAATTATCTCCAATCTTCATATGTTCCAATGACAGCATGGCTATGTGTTCAAAGCAATTCACGATGTCGTTTTTTACTCTTTGTTGGGTCGGTGAGGTTTTACTAGCGGCCATTATATTGGAAACAACTGTCATACTCGTCGTTGCTAGCTTTTCAATTGAATCCCCCTATTCATGAAGGTTGAATGTCATAACTTATTGGACGTTGTTTGACAGGACATTGCGTGAACGGGCATAATTTATAACGAACATTAAAATGAACGCTTGAAGGCATTCAGTTAATGCATTTAATTTAACTACCTAGTTAGTCCTAATTGTAGTTAATTGAAATGACATTAAAATTAACGCTAGGGCAAATATCCTGACAAAAATAAAATACAAAATCTGATTATACAATCAGCAGACAATGAATTGAGTATTGATGTGTGCTTACTAAGTAACAACTTACAGTAACGCTGCTAAAGACAGTCTCGACCTTTTCATCCGTCATCTTTTTAATAACTGTTTCGATATCCCTTGGGGAAACCTCTTCTGTTTTCATGGTTTCGTTCCTCAGTTGCTCGATGCTCTCCTCAGTTTCAATGATAATCTGAAGTGTAATAGGTATTTATTAGTGTTCCAATCTCAGTAGCTTATTTGTTTGATTCACTGTGAAAGTTGCAGATCGGCTTGAGATTTGGGAGGACGGAGGTGGCAGGATCAGGTACAATCAGAAATAAATTTTAAAGGATATTTCTAAGTGGTATATCTATTCCCCAAATTGAAGTCGAATGGTGAAATAGCAGCTGAAGTATGATAACCCACCTTTTTGATGTCTTCTGACTTTTTTGAGTTACATGCGCTCAGGTCAGGTCGCTCCCACTGACCCTCCACATTGCATAGTCTGACAGCTGCACTGTCAATGTTATAGAAACATTGACCTCTACTTTCCTGACCTGGAGTGGCTTGGTTAATGTTTACCCCAAACAAAGAAATTATAAGACATGTTTTGAATGAAACGTTGATAAATATAATTATTGTGGATCGATTCAAAAGTATCAAAAAGTTTGGAAATATTTTTCATGGCGATATCAATCATAGCATGACAATTTTATTTGATGGCAATCTGAGAGGCTAGAGCTAACTTTACCTGCTTGCACCGAAGGAAAAGAAATAACTCCAACTGCAGGAGTGAAAAACTGGTCGTCTTTTGGGCAGAACTTTCCTTTTACTAAAAATAAGCTCGGTCAGTGATGCAGATGGAGGTTTTAAAAGTTTGCAAAATAAAAAATTAGTTGGACACATTTAAATTACATTTTGATCTGTTAAAATTGAAAGATTACTGCTCCCTCTAATATTTGTATCACTTTGTGAATACGAATAGTTAAGGAGGGGATTGGAAAGCTCAAAAACGCGTTATAAGTAGGATCTCTCTTTGCTCTTATGGGGTGGGGGCGCGAAATAAAGCGTTTAAATGTATTTATGTCAGTATATTATAAATAAGCGCTAAAAGTAAAAACTAAAAAGAAAAAGTAATTTAAATTTGGATCAACTTTAATGATGATCAGTTCTCAGTATCGTGTATAATCTCACCGATAGTAACGTTGCATTGAGTTTGACCGTGAAGGTTGGTTGTAAGCTCATCACCTTCACATGGTTTACATCTACTTTCTTGAGGCTTGTCGTTGTATTGTCCTGGAGGACACGCACTACACCCACTTTTATCATCTGAGAAATACAATGTCACCAGTTGTTAAAACTGATGTTGTAAAAGGGTATTTTTCGTCTTCTACTAATTAGTCAAATTCTATGAATTTATAATCCAATGATAATCGCCATGTTCCGTGATTCAAAGTGAAAGAATGTACGATTTTGGCATTTCCAGAGTAAAGCAAGTGGTGACAGAAAACGCTCCGGCAGTCACATTTATACATGGCACTGAATTGAATGAAGAACTGCTCTGCCTGTTAAAATTATCAAATAAATCAGGCTATAGCAAATGTCTACTGCTAAAACTAAAATAACTTACCAGTGACTTCATATCCAGCTTGACAGAAGTAACATTTACTAAAACCAGGTAACGAGTACTTGTAACCCTCACAGTCCCTGCATTCCGCATCAGTTTCATCAAAGTAGTTTCCAGCGCCACACTCATCACATGTCTTCCCATCATTATTGGCTTTCTTTCCTAGGAAATAATCGTTTTAACCAAAAATAAAGGTTGATAATCAAATTTGAAGAATGTTATCGTATTAGAGTATTAGGATTGTGTGCAATCATCAAGAATTGTTTCACCTAAGTTAGATACAAAGTCTGTGCTAATGTTTGTACCTGGAGGACAAGGAGTGCAGGTCTGATTCTCAACTTCAACATGTCCATTATCACAGGAGTAACACTCTGTACTACCTCTGTTTGGTGCGTACTAAAACGTTTGAATTTTAGATATATGTAAATCAACAGTTACAGTTAAAATGGGATTCCAATAAACAGGTTATGGATTCTACCTGGTTATAGAATTTTGGTTTATATCAACCAATTTTGAAACCTTATTTAAGTATCTTAGCCTCATTCATCGTATTATTTTTAACTTCACTAACCTGAGATTGTGAACTGTCACATGATAAACATTCTGAGCCCGATCCATTTCCACGATACTCCCCTATTGCACATAACTCACACGCTCCATTCACTTTATTGAGCTGTGAACCAGGAGCGCATTCTGTAAAGTGTAAAGTAGAACCACAAAATTTGAACATATTTGTAGTAATAAGTAAAAGTCAATTTTTTTGCAAATACCGAAAAAGATAACAAATAATTACCAAACTCCTTGCAACACTACAAAATAAATAAACCTGGCATATAATGATATGTAGATATGTAATTGAGTTCGTATTACCATAAAACGTGATGTTTTCGCGTCGGATACGGAAATTTATACGTTTTAGTAAGTTTTCACTCATCTGAAATCTGCAGCTGGCTGTTGACCTTTCTTCGTCAAGAATCTGATGTGGGCATAATTTTTTTAAACGAGCTATAAAACATGATTCAAGATTCAACATGGTAGAACAGTTATAATGTATTATTTTGATTCACAAGAAATAATTCTAAGAATTGCTGAAATGTATTGTTATAGATCTTACATCTTGGCACGTGTTTTGAAGGACTGAAGACTTTGATGAAGAAGTAGTATCTGTACCGATCATGCATCCTATATAAGCTGATTCGAAAACGGATCCCTGGGATATTTAAATGAATGATAACACCGATGCTAAGTTTCCACTAGTTATTAGAAAACGTTATAATTCCGTATTTGCAAATATTTCACGGCTCAAGACCTTTAGAATTAGGTTGATTTTATCGAGTAAAGATTGTGAACCTGTACTATGCAGTTGAATTCATCTCTCATTATCTGATAATTTCCAGACGAGTGGTCTGCAACGCTTGTTCCCACCAATGATAGTCCTGAGAAGTTATAAATAAGTTAACCAGATCACAGAATTGAGAATTCCAATGTCATTCCTTAGATTTGAACCAATTACTAACGTATCAACAGTCCTGAGTTCTATAAGCAGAAAGATTCAAACCTTTTAAAACGTGACTCTCTCTCCTGACCAGTACTATCAACATAGTTTTCATTTATTAAGCTGACTAAAAAGAAAACTTAAAACAAGTTAACTTACCAAATTCTTTTTTGCTGAGATACTGTGAATCTATAACTGTGGGCTCTCCTGAAATAAGCTCAGAGAATTTGCAGGTTAGAAGACTATTATCAGTTATAGAAGTAGTGATAGTAAGTGTTCCTGTGATACTGAAATCGTAAAAGTTTGAGTATGATGAGTAACAGACTTTATAGGTCTCGTTATCAGGAGTACACCATTTTCCTGAAATTGAATTTATTAACATTGAAAGAAACAAGAGTCTCGACGAAGAGACAAATATGCAGCCCAAACCGGCTACCGGACAACTGAACCCAATTTGGACTTTTCCTAGACAGGGTAGCTTGGGAAAATAATTATAAACCCAATCAGACTACCTAATTAACTTTGAAACGACAACTGAACCCAATCGTCACTAGAAATCACTAACAACTGATAAATCACTAACAGTTTAACAGGTTTCCAAATACCGTTCTAGTTTAGCTGCTGCCTGGTTTCTAGTCCTATAATTTCGGTCTGTTGAGGTTGGTGCTTCGGAGTGGTTGGCAGATCCGGACTTATCTGCTCGTGATCGTTGGACAATTCTGGCGAGGGATTCTAGTTTAGGTAGTACCACGTTGATTTCGGATGGGCATGTAGATAAGGCTTCGGTGAGGAGGTTTTTTGTTGCTGGGAGGTGTTGGTCGGCAGCTTTCCGCTTCAATTCTGCTCTGAACTCTGCTTTCTCAGCTACTAAGTTGTCAGGGTCGTGGGAATGAGGTTTGGCACCGCTGGCCAAGGACTGATCTCCATGGTCAAGGAATACATGAGCAGGACATTTCTTGATTCTGTAATTCTGGCATCTCCAAGTAGAGGTAGTAGGGGTATCTCGATCCTTTCTCCGGGTGTAGAGGAAACCGTCTGTGTCCAGAAGTAGTTGAGCTCCTCTTTGTCCGCTGATGTACTTGCTGAAGACAACCATGATCCGATACTGTGACCACCATCTCTCTTCCTTATGTATTGATCCGATCTGTATAACAAGCGTACTAATAGATGACAAGGTCTTAGGTGCCTTTCGATCGCGAGATCTGATCTAACAAGCTTACGTGTTCACGAAACGTGCCGAAAAGGATACGATCCACTGCTCCTCAAGCATCGAGATCCGACCCAGGGCTCGAGATCTGAACCATGGTAGGCCCTCCCAAAGCATCAGGAGTCACGAGATCTGAGTCAAGTAACCTGAGCCAAGTATCCAGCGTGCTAATGGTGCGTTCCATCAGCTTTGGAAGACATGAAACAGTGGAACTATAAGAACGCCCATCAAGATCCGTATCTACAAGGCTATAACTTTCAAAGCTAGACGGACACGTTGTCAGAATGCCAGAGACACAGTTTCCCAATTTTTTACTGGATTAGAAACCAAACTATGGGAAGAGACTGAGAGGACGACTCCGTAAAGGCTCCAATGCTCTAAATTACAGTGGTCATGATCTATCCTATAGTGATAATGACCACAGTCATATCACTGAAAATCCGATCGTTGGGTTCAGTTGTCGTATTTCCTTGGGTTCAGTTGTCGTATTTTCAATTTGGGTGCAGTTGTGATATGACCTGGGTTCAGTTGTCGTTTTGGGTTTTAAGCTGATTGGTCACCCAAGTAAGCTGATTGGGTGCCTTTAACTGCGTGGGAACTAGGTTCAATTGGGTTCAGTTGTCTGCCACCCGTCAAACCCGAATATACCTATAAGTTGTCCGGGAAAGGAAATTAACCCAGTAATTACACTGAATACATGTAAATTCCCACATTTTAGGATCACCTGTTCGGTATATTGGGGCACGGTAAATCGGGATTTCACTGTAATAATGAAATTGTTACCTTATTCTGGTTGTTACAAAAGTACAAACCATACCTGCGCTTTCACTTCGTAGATCAGTCCGAGCATCTTCATTCTGCAGATCCTCGAACTCGATTTTTCTTTTGTTATTATCCTTATTTGGTGTTAGTGTTATGGAGATATCTACACCTTCTCCTTCCAGGGTCATCTTATAAACAGTGTTTTCTTGTTCACTCTCCAGGATTGCTTCTACTTCGTCCAGTTGACAAACAGCAGGTGATGGCACTGGACTCTCTTGCCATGCACCAGTTCCATTCGAGAACTTTATCCCAGCTTCAGCAGCAGGTACAAAGGCATTCTGAGTTTTCAGTTCTGAAAAGTAATAACTTAACTTGTACCTAGTTACACTAGTATAGTACACGTAGCAATGTACACAACGCTTCATAATACATTAACGAATACAGTTCATTCTTCAGATATAAGTGTTCATTAAATCAAATCATTGAACTTCCAGCAATGAGGTACATAACTATAAGAAAATCAATCTATACTTATTATTCTGTAAAATTTAGAATCGTCCAACATACTGTAATTAGACGCACAAACTTGTCCTAGAATCCAGAGCAAACTGTGGGCTACTAGGATTTTCCGAACTAGCATGCCCTAACCTATGAATAATGAACGTTATTAAAAGGAACGTATTTTTACTTGATAATAAGTTCATCTCACATGAAAGTTGAACTGCGTGCAAAGCTGTGGACAATGTGACTCTATTTGGTATTGTCACTAAAATATGGGATACTCCTTTATGGCTAATACTCTAATAATAACTACCATAACAATAATGAAGTAACCATAATATAGCAACAATGCAGAAACCGTCCTACATGCTTACAATATGCAAACTATGTTCACGCTTGTGAACCGTAAAAAAACTGTAGTATAGAGCGGGGCCCTATAGATTACAGAAATTTAAAAGGAGAAAATAATGAGAATTCAGAACTTATGCGATGCCACTAATACAACAAATGAAAAATAATTACGAAAAAGGGGAATTTTAATATAAACTAGCCATTCGAATCAAATACCAGCACCTATGTTTCTATATTTCTATCATTCAACAGAAAGAGTTGCCCAATATGTGGATGAACAGCAGCAAGGTGAGGGACGAGTGTCCGCTATTAGCGGGGTCGAGTGCTATTGTCACGTGTTATTAGCGGGGTCACGTGCTAGTATCACGTGTTATTAGCGGGGACCATTCATATGAGAACGCATGTTGCACAAGGACGTCTACCAATAGATATAATATATCTCCTGTAATACAAAACTGCCCACAAGGCAACATTGCATTCCAATGCAAATGAAACAACCAGCACGTTGTACAGAAAACCATATTGAGTACTACTAGTAGTAGTAAGTCCCTTGCTCTTAGCAAAACCTGGTATTCACATCCTTGATAGATACACCTGGGTAAAACACAACCGTGACATTGCTACAAGTACATGGGAATAAATGACCAGCAACACCGCATATGCACTGGGAAGTTTAATTCTGTTGTCAGAATTTTAAGTATCAAAAACTCTTATCTGGTGAACAATACATTTTTTTAAAAAGTTACTATCTGCGCTCGATAACTTTCCCAACAGTTGCTCTAACGAATCTCTATATTTTTATGAACATTATATAATAGCATGGGGTCCCCAGGTAATAATAGGGCCGGAATAACATGATGCGAAATAAAATCTCCAAATGTCCTTTCTCTCAAGTTTGGAGGATGTATTTTTCTGTGCTGGTGTTAATCATCTCGAGTAATGTAAGAGTGTTTAAATGCATGATATACAGCAACTGCTCCTTCATAATATTTTGTATCATTTCGTAAAAAAGTCACACTTTCTGTGGTACACCCTGTATATCACATTGTAAAGTTATAAAGCATGAAATGATCTTACATTCTGGAATTGAGACTTGAGTAGAATATCCTTTTTCTAGGAGGTGCACGATAAAAAATAAACTTGCTCGGATTTTTAAAATTTTTGTACCACTGTTTTCTAGAGACTGTGAGAATTTTCACAATACAAAATTTGTCATACCTTTTTGGAAAGATCAGTGAGTTTCGCCTAGGTGCCATATTTGATGGTGCGCGGCTTTTGGAGCAAAAGCAGCTGTAAAAGTCGCGTAATTTGACCAAATTCGTCCAAATTTGACCATTTTTGTCGTATTCTTCGGATTTATCTTCAGTTCCTT